AGCCCGAGGGTAAAACAAATTAGAAGTGTAGACAGCAGTCCCTTGTGATATGTTGAGTCAGGCAGGGCTAATTAAGCAGACAAGCTGTGTCCTAGTAATTTGCCTCCATGAATGTCATTTCTAACCCTGGGGTTCTTTTCATTGGCTTAAGTGGACAGTACACCCTGATTGGCTGCCCGGGTACACAACAAAGCAAAACAGGGGCATGAGTCTGGTGTGGACTGCTTAGGAGCTCCACTGAGTTCTCTTCACAAAGTCTCGGTGAAAACACGGCCCGCAGAGATGGAAATGCCAGTCCTGTTTCACGTGTCACTGTGCCCTTGCTTTTATGTTCAGAGTCTTTTCTTACTTCTCCATGGTGATCTTGCTCAATATCTTACGTTTGGGGTAAATGCATGACTCAAGAAAGACCGTGTTGATTGAGCGAATGTTGTGTTCTTTTCAGTCAGCTGCTGTAGGTGTGCAAATTACTCTGCACAGGTTACAAACTCTCGCCTACTCAAGGTTGGGGGGGGGGGGTAGCTCCAGGTCCTTAAGAGAGTTTTGACTTTTGTGTCATGCTTAGTTCCTCCATCTTCATTGCCCCTGCTTCAAATGCCAGAACTAATTCTGGTTTCCTATTCTAACAGTGAACACTGTGCCTTCTTTGACAACCTGAACCTTGAACTTCCTGGTTTCTGACGTTCCGGGCCTGTTCAAGCAAATGTCTGCCAGCCCCCAGTCAACCCTGGCATACTTATACTTTATTTAAAGGCTTCTAAAATTGCTCTTATGGTATATGTTGGTATCTCTGCTTCCTGGATTTCATTCCTTATTGCCTTCAGGAAACAAATAAAATTTTATCACAAATTTGACTATAGATTATACCTACTTCAGCCCTGTCTAGTATCAAGTTTTGAAGGCCCAAGATTCAAAGTTTCATCAAAATTAAAGTAAAAACAAAACAACAACAACAAAAAAACCTGAGTTAAATACTTAGAACAGATAAGAAAAATCAGGACTTTTAAAAATGTCTGATTCTAAGGGAGAAGTCTTGGTTCATAAATTTTAAAAAGCATGTAATTTCCAAAACACAAAATATAATCACAAAATACTTCAACTTCATTTCTTAGAAATGTAGCATATTTTACTGAACAGAAAACAAAAATTCTTGGGCCAAAAATAATTTCTGACAATCATAAATACAGTACCTTTAAATTATTACATAAGGAAAATAAGAATAGTTGAAATAATTATACCTACCTTTCTAAGGATGTCTATGATAGGCTGGTACCTTGTAGCCTGATTAATACCCTTTGGAAGGCATTTTGGTTTTATGTATAAAGAATCACAAAAATATATTGACTCTTTAACCCCATCATTATATTTCTGTCTGAGACACCAGGAAGGTAAAAACATTCATGGTATGTTAATTACAGAAATATTTACAAGAGGAAATCTCTATGACTTGTTCCTAGAAGATGGAAAAATATTACCTTGAATATTTTGTGATTGCTCTGAAAATAAGCAATGTTAGTTCGTATGTGTGTGTGTGAGTGTGTAAGCATCAAGACACAATTCAAAGGACAACTTGTAAGGGTGGTTCTCACCATCTACCATGTGGGTCAAAGGAATTGAACTCAGGTCATTAGGTTTCGTGACAAGGGCCTTTACTTGCTGAGTCATCTTATTAGCTCTAAAGGTGTTTTTGATAAATGTCATTTTAATGTTATTTGTGCTAGAACTCTACAAATTGCATCTTGTATGTGTTATAGCAATAAGAAATCTAAGGGTCTTCTTTGGCATGTACCTCTAACCCTCCAAATTATTCCACCTCTCTAAAAACTCTCTATTTATCTTCAGCCCCACCATCACCAATCAGTTTGAAATAAATGGCTTTTTCTAATGGACTCTATAGATACTCTGACTGGTCCTCAGTCTCATGCTGGAATCTGTTCTCTGCCTGTAGCTAATGTAAATCCAATGTGATTCATACACATGCACCATTGCTTCAAATGCCCAAAGCCTTACCTGACCCCAAATGCTATAGAAAACCATGGCTGCCTCTCTAGACTTTCCTCTCTATTGCCACGTCCTACCTATGCAGCTCTCTACAGTTGATACTCTCCTGCCTAGGACACTGTTTAAGTACTTTCTGCCTAGGATGCTGTCAATACTCTACAGTTGATACTCTTCTGCCTAGGATGCTGTCTACAGTTGATACCTTCTGCCCAGGATGCTGTCAATAGTCTACAGTTGATACTCTCCTGCCTAGGATGCTGTATACAGTTGATACCTTCTGTCTAGGATGCTCTCTACAAGAACCTTTCCCCTTCCTTTGTCTTCCACTCCATCATCTCAGGGAATCTTTGTTGCTGCACTAGAGCAGAGCCCCTTTTCACACTCTTTTGTGACCTCTTTACTTTTTTCTTACTGACAACTCACACAAGCAATACTCCATCTCAGTAGAATTTAAATTATGTGAGAACAGGGACTTGATTTGTTCACTGTTCTTTACCCAGAGTTCAAATATGTATTTAATCCCCAAGTTACATGCAGCACTGTCACTTAGCTAATCTGTGTCATTGTGGGATTCTTGTGGCTTTCTCTTGTAAGTCTTCAGTCTCCTGAGAGAGAGCCTTCCTAGTGAGGTAACCCAGTATCTGCACAGTAGGAGGCCTTCGGCAGATTTATACTGGATACATTTGCCAGAACCATGTAAAAACACAGGAAAAAGCCACAACAAAACCACAGTTAAAATTATAAAGTATACCTTTTCTCGAAATGATAATGTAATAAAAATTCACAATTAAACAGAAAGAAATAGATCTTCTAATACATGATACGTATAACAAAAGGCATAGATACAATACCTACAATTACTCTACTGGAAGAAGTTAGATGTTTCTGTTTTCCCCTAGTATATACAAGTGATTGTATAATTTTTGCATGGCTATAATCATAGATTCAATTCTATGTTTTGCTTCGTTTTTGTTTCACACTGCATCCATTTTGCTAGTGTTCTACATTGCCTATGTAATTATAGTTAGCAACTGCATGATATTCATTTAAATTTGTATACTTGAGAGAGATTCTTACTTTAAGATATATTTCCCTGAAAAGAATTCAAAGTGTATGAGCATGCAGGGAAATAGAGATTACTAGCTTCACTGGCCACAATACGGAAAAGACACAGTGACAGTCACGTGTGCAAGCATAGAGTAGTGCTTGCCGTAGGTCTGAGTGTGATTATTGTTACAAGAGAATGCAAGTTGCATCAAGCCTATGGGAGTGAGAGGGTCCCTCTATATAGGTTCATATAGAACATCCTAAGACAGGTAGCTTCTGAAATACAACGCATATGTCAGGAGTGGAGGGGGGTTCAGGCTTCTGGCAAACAACAATTAGAAAGGGCTCTAAGAAAAAAGGAATTCATAGACTGATGAAAGACATTCTTAAGGGAAGTGCCAATATTGGTTAGAAGCAGATACTGGGGCCTCCTGTTCTGTTAGTACAGGAGATGGCAATTGAGACAGGAGTGACTGACCAGGTGACAGGAGGTGGCAATAATAAAAAGAGAGGTACCAAGCAGATCTGTAGGCTGAACATAATGATGCAGCTACCTAGTGCTTTTCAAAATGCAAGTCTGGGCAGGATGACCCCTGGTTTCTCAAATACTTTTTTATAAAACAGCGGTATCATAGCCTCAAGCAGGAGTGAGTTACAGCCTCTTTGGTTCATTAGCTTTAACTCCCAAGTGTCCACTTGGCTGTCTTCTTGCTTGCTGTCTTCTTAGCAATACAAAAACCCAACACTAAAACTGGGCACAGTGACTCAAATCTGTAATCCTTGCTCTTGAGAAACTGAAGTGAAGGGGTTGCTGTGAGTTCAAAGCCAGTCTGGGCTACATAGCAAGACCTCTTCCTCAAACCACACACACACACACACACACACACACACACACACACACACCACCACCACCACCACCATCATCAACAACAACAAAACAAAAAACACTTGTGGTTTCCAGAAGACCTTGAATAAAAAATAGCTCCAGGAACTTGAAATAATTCCCCAAACACTAGAAGTTTCCAAATCTGTAAACCAATAATCCTAGAGTTTTCATCAGTGCTATCTGTTTTTAAGGTTGGCATCATGGTCTTCATCCAGGGCTATCTCCCTCTGGATTAAGCATCTATCATTTCCAAATACTTCTAGAGTCATCCCGAGAACTTATTTACCATGGAGAGAAATTGGTTAAGGACACAGAGTAACTTTTCCTTGCAAAGACATCTAAATAAGGAAAAGCATGGGAAAAAAATAGTTGTGTTAGGATTTCAAGCCTAGTATCCCAGAAGTATAGTTAGGTGCACATATTTACTTTCTGGATGGTATTTTTTTTACATCTCAAAGTCCACTGTCCTTTTCAGCCTGAGCACTAACACTGTTCACATCCATGATCTTTGTGTTGAACAAATTTCATTATCCAAGCTCATCGATTATATTAACTATGTACCTGTTAGCTTTAGTTGTTGACCACTAAACAGATGAGAAAGGGTCCTATCTGTTATATTCCCCATAGCCTACACGGGACCTCAATAAACATTTAGTTGGTTAATGTTGCTCAATAAACACTTAATGTATTAATGAATAAGTGAATGAGTAATCAGAACCAGAATGTTCCGGTTTCTACATGTCATTAGGACATCTATCATTTAGTTGCTTTATTAGATCAGGTCTTAACACATTGCTCAAACAGGTTTCTTGTCATTGACTCTGTGATTATTTTAACAACCACCAAAAATTTTAGGTTGTCATCGTATGCAGAAGAATGCACCATCTACAGAAGAGTATGTGTCTATATGTACACCATGACCAAAGGGGAATTCTAACTAGTGCAACTTTTCCTCAGGTCATTAGCCTGTGCTGATTCTCTAATTTGCTAAGTTTAGCTCATTACACAAGTCTATTTTAGTTAGAAATGGTTTGAACAGTGCATTGATATTTTTGTTTTATTTCAGCAAACTTCAAAAGACAAAGAGGGATATCAGATGGCTTCAAGGAGCAACTGGTGAATGGTTTGAAGAAATTCAAAGAAAGAAGTTTTGCAATGAAACAGATGTTAGCCAAATGTTAAAACCACCGCTTACATACAGGCTACGGAAAGGAATGGCAAAAAATGGTGAGGAAAAAAATAATTTTGCCTTAAATTATCTTTTCCTCAGTGTAGTATTATAGACAATGAATCCATGCATCCACAGTTTAACCTATTTATGGCTCAGGGCTGTTATAGGGTACTTAAACTTTATACTATATGATATGTTAGACAGTTTAGGGGGATAACAAAATGCCCAATACAACTCAACTGGGAATATGGTCAGATTATTTGTTCTTGATAAACTTCAATGTGCTTTTCACTTTTAAATGAGATAATGTCTACCTCATAGGATAAAATAAGATTATATGCATTAAGAATTAGTGTAAGGGTCAAGGATACAGCTCCACAAGTAAAACACTTACCTCACAAGTGTGAAGACCTGAATTCAAACCTCCAGAACCTGGGCACAGTAAACAAGCTACAGCTCCCTCTCCTGTGAAAGACAGGGGACAGAGAGACAGAATTCTCAGAGGCTTCTGGACTGGCTGTCCTGCCACAGGGCATAGCAACAAAATATCAAGAGAAGGTAGAAGGGTGAAGACAGACAAATTAAGGTTTCGCTGGCCTCCATATTCATGTTTATGCATGAGCATGCCGTGCACAAACACTCATATATATCCACACACTAAAAACTTAAAAGTAAAAAGAATTAACCTGGGCTGATTGTGATGGCTTGTAGTCTTAATCCCAGAAATCAAGAGGCTGAGGCAGAATTGTCATGAGTATCAGGCCAGTCTGAGCTACAGAATGAAGCCTTGTCCCCCAAAAAAGGAAAAGGAAAGAAAAACAGATAATCAACCAGGAGCATAGTAAGCACTTACCTTCATGGGATGATGATGAAGAAGAAGGCAGAAGAGAAGATTGGGGGTTTCACAGGAGAAAGGGGACAGCTGGTAGAAGAGCTGTCATCCCTCTGGAGTCTCAGTAATCTCCATAATGAGTGACAGTACACACCTGCTGTGGGCACTTGGTTGCAACTGCTAGCATGTCACTTACCTTCACCCAATTTTCTTAAGCCATTAATGAGGGTAGTGAAACCTGTTTCAAGGACACCCATGAGTGTGGCAAACTATCAGAAACAGTAAACCGTAAACTAACCATGCCACTGAACCAGTCTCATGGGCTGCTTTTACACATGTTGTCAACGTGAGTAACACTTTGAAACAGGTGGTATTATTTCTGATTGCACAGATGGTTAAAATCTCCAACTCTCATAACAAAACCATCTATCTAAAAGAACAATCCGGCTTTCTGTGTGTGGAGGGTAAGTGTGGCAGTGGTACCCACAGTGATGGGGATCAAACCCACAGCTTCATGCATGCTAGGCAAGAGCTCCACCACTTCCCTACATCCCCATCACAAAACTCAGATTTGTAGATTGAGCCCATGTGTACGCCACCGTGGCTTTGCCTTACCTTGAACTCCAATACAAAGTCAGTGTGCACAAAAGGACTATGGTATTATGGTCTTTGTATATGCTGATGGGCCTTAAATTTAAAATTGAAGGTTCATATATAAAAACTATATGTTATTATACATATTTTTACATGCATACTCATAAACCAAATATATACACATAGACACACATACACACACACATATGTCACATACCACACTAGAATAGATTTTGAAAAAGAATAAGGAACACTCTAAATGGTTTCATTTCCCTTTTATTTACTTTATTTGGCATCAAAGAGTTATATGAAAACTCTCTCCACCATTTTAAAGGACTGATATTTTTCTAAGAGGTACTTGGATCAGCAAGATATGGGGTGAATTGGTCCCCTGACTTGCTAGCTTGGATGTTGGACATCCAAGTAGAGGCTGAAATGAGAAAGACCCACAGAGCCGGCATCAGGCAAGGAGTCCTGTTCAGAACTGTGGCCTGTGACACATACTGAAAACATCTTGCTTGAGTGTGAAGTTTTTCTCCACCCAGCAGAACCACTGAACCACACACAGGACCCTGAGAAACAGCTCTGAAACACCTTCGAAGGTTCCTGAGGTCATATGGGGATGCTAGCTGCTTCTAGACTGTAGAAGGAGGGAGAAACAAATGCCACACCTTTCGTCTTTCACATAGATTTATCTGAAAGCCAGGCTTAGCAGCAACAGATGCCTATGACCACAGGAAGCAGGAGGATTACAAGTTTGAGATCAACCTGGCCTCCCTTGCCAGACAGAGCTATATAATCATAACTTGTCTCAAATTTAAAATAACCAAAAAAGCATATTAATCTGAATTTTTGAAAGAAAATGGTCTCATGTAGCACAATCTGACCTAAAATTTAATGTGTACCTTGAACTTTTAGCCACCTACCTCCACCTCTCAAGAGCAGGGTCTATCAGTGATCATAGATGCCAGGGCTTCCTGTGCTAGGCAGGCACTCCACAACCAAGCTACCAACCCTGTCTGCAGGTATTTTAACAGTATAAATCTTTGCTTCCCCCTCCCCACTTCCCCACCCTCCGCCAGATCCGATGGAATTACAAACATCAAGATCTAAAAACCTAATGAACCAAAAACCATCTGTTTCTCCCCGAATGAGCTTCCGATCATCGTTTGCTTCACTGTTCTCCTTCAGAAGATCGGGGAAGGAGACACTTAAGCTTCAGTCTCAGAGAGCAAAGGGGTGAGTTTTAACTCCGATCGTGTTAGAGCTTTCTTTGTTAGCTGGTCCTGAGGCCAATAGCCTGTTTGAGGTCCAGAGTGTTCAGCGTTTGTTCTTAAAGCTGAAGTCCCGGTAGTAACAAAGGAGTACACAGAGTCTCAAACACAGTTTCAATCACAGTTCTTGGGGACTGTGAAACTCGGCTTGCCTGAAAGCTGCCTTTTAAGCAACTGCTGACATCCTGGTGGTGAAACTGGAGAAACATGGGTTAAATGTTGGGAAAGCGTTATTGACAGTTACTCTGCTGAGCCTAGAGCAGGGTCTGTGCCTTGGCTAGAGAGATCAGTTTAAACCACTGCTTTTTTAGCGACCACGTGTTTCTGTCCGGAAGTAGAGCTGACCAAAGAAAATAAGTATCAGGTGGGTTGAAAAAAAAAAAAAAAAAAAAAAAAGTGAAGAATCAACTCCAAAACAGAAAGGAATATTAACTTGATTTCCAGAAATGCTGACGCAACTGTTCATGAGTGGCTGGCCCGAATTTCAGTCTAAGGCGAGGGAGGGGCCGCATTTGGAGCATTTGGAGCTGTGCAGGCAGGAGTGCAGCAGACAGTTCCCGGGTTGGACGCTGCATAGGTCAGTCCCCCTTCAGTCTTTGTGTTGTTTCACGACAAACAAGCAGGACTCAGCTGTGTAGCTGAGCTGACTGCTGAGTATTTTCCCGCACGTCTTCCTGGTTGCAATGCTCCCCACCCTCTTAAGGTGTTGGCTTGGCACGTGATGTGTTCCCTGCGCTGGCGAACCATTAACATTGAGTTGCAGCGCTAAATCAAAGGTGTTGGAGGTCACTGTCCCTGAAAAACAAGCCGCAACAGGCAGCTGCTGGGGCGTGTGGGGAGGCTGTGGGACCTCAAGGAGCACCGGGATTTTTTTACTTTCGGCTTTTCCCTGATGGAATAATGAAGAGTTGAGAGAAAAAAATGTAGATCTGTGGGACTAAACCTACCTGAGACACATGCCAAGAATACTCTTCATCGGTGAGTTCCTTTAAAAAAAAAAAAAAAAAAAAAAACTCTGGACAACTGTTGTTGGGAAGATTGAAAACTGAAAAACATTTCGTGGTTTGTTGAAACAATTTCCTTCAAGGAGAAAAGTTGATTACCAGCATGAAGGTTTTCACTGTGATTTGTTTCTTAGGCACTTGGATTTTTTAAGGGAGAGTTTTATAGAGCAGAATGAGATGACTTAGGAAACCAGGGAAAGTGGAAGAAACGGGTGTACACCATTGGCAGGTTTGTTGCTTTAGGTTTTTTGTTTTTTGTTTTGTTTTGTTTTGTTTTGAAGCTCATGTTACAGATTGCTGCATGGATCAAGGAAGATAAAAGATCTAAAGATCTAGGATCTTCATTCTTGGTATGTGTTTTGGCCAGAGGGCAAAGAGAAAAGAGAAAACTTGCAGGCTCTGTTCAGCAGATGTCCTTGTCAGATACCAAAATGACTCCTAACCAGGCTGCCTGCGACTTCAAATGCAGCCTGGAGACACGCAGCAGCAAATACCATTACTTCATTGCTTCCTAGACATTGTCGCCTTTAAATGCATCTTTCTTCCTTTAAAAAGATTCCTTTTTCATTATTAATGTGTGTATTAGGAAGAAAGAAAGAGAGGAGGTATTCATGTACTGTAGCATGCATGTGGTAGAAGTCATAGGACAACTTCCAGGAGTTGGTTCTGTCTTACCATGTGGGTTGGGTATTGACCTCTGTCATGAGCCTTGATAGCAAGCACCTTTACCCACCAAGACATCTCACCAACCCCAAATACATCTTACTTTCAAACTTTAATGATGGCATATTTAATGCTTGTCTTAACATGATCATTGGTAGTGATGTGTCCTTAGTTATTTGCTTGTTTTTTCTTTCTTTTGAGATAAGGATATATATATATATATATATATATATATATATATATATATATATATTGTAGCACAGGCTGTCCTAGAACTCACATAGCCCAGGCTAGCCTCAAGCTCACAGTGATATTCCTGTTTCTACCTTGACAATATTTGTTCTGCCAGGGTAGAATATAATGAAAAATAAACACCAGTGCTTATTCCTCATAGGATCATGCCAAGGGTATACTCTTCTTATTTGAAGACTTGAACTTGACTTCAGTGTTTGGAGAGAAATCATAAATGTGAGGCAACAAATGTTTTTAATGGTGGGAGTGGGGAATTTTATCATGAGGCAGCTAATATGAATTCATGGCTTCTCTAACGCCAGGTAGCATTTAACTTTAACAGAAACAACCTTCAAAATACTTTCTGACCCAGGAGCTGTTTCTTGCCTGAGCTCAGAGGGTGGGGTCTGTGAGCCCAGTTACCCAGAACCTTCATGCTTCTAATTTCTGAAGCCATCTAGGGCTTAACTGCTTGATGCCCTGGAAAGCAAAACATTTTAGAGGATGTCTTTTCACATTAATAAATATTTCAGTTCCTTTTAAGGTGTATAATTTATACTGACTTTTCAGTTTATTTTTGTCTTTTTTCCTTTATCAAATCCTATTTTTGATTCTCATTGTAACAAATACACAGTTGAATGTCAGGCACAAAAGTCAATATCAAAGTTATTAGCATAGCTATAAAATATGAATGAACGATGTAGAGGCATTTTCATCTCTGGCAGATAATCCAGAGTTAGAGAACCTTGATTTAACTTTCCAGATTGTTCAGAGGGAAAGTAACCAAGAAAAAAAAAAAGCAAAACATCAAACTTTTATATAAAACTCCTAATAGTTAAATAAAACTCTTGATACTCAGATGAATAATTCATCCTCTTCTTCCTCCTCTTCCTTCTTCTTCTCTTCCTTCTCCTCCTCTTCTTTCACATCTGTTTTTTGAAACATGGTTAGTCTATGTAGTCCTGGAACTCATTGTGTAAACAAGATTGGTCTCAAACTCTCAGACATCCATCTGCCCCTCAAGTACAGAGATGTACCACTATACCAGGATTACTTTCTTCTTTTAATCTTTGGCTGTTTGGTTTGTTTTGTTCTGTTTTTGAGACAAGGTCTTGTTGTGGAGCCCCAACTAGTCTCAAATTTACAATGTAGTCCAAACTGACCTTGAACTCACAATCCTTCAGTATCAGCCTCCTGGATTCTACAATTATAAATGTGTGCCTTTATGCTCAGCTTTATGCTTTGGTGTCCACTGAGAAAGTACCCTGGAAAGTAGGCAACCTTTCTCAGAAAATAAAATGAGAAAGGGGTTTCACAATTTGTGAAGATACCCTTGTTCACTTTAAGGTTCAACCAATAAAAGCAGGATAGTTCCCCCTCCCTATCCAGTTATTTCTCAACCCAGATCCAAAACTGCAATATGATGAGGAGAAACCTTGAAAAAGAAAATCTAGACTCGTGTAACTTTTATTATAGCATATTTTAGTTGTCCCAGTTTGTTATTCATTGGTGATATCTATCTCTTCCTGTGCCTAGAATATGAATTAAGCTTTAACATAGATATTTATGACAGGAAAAACAAGGTCAGTACAGGATTTTGTACTATCTGTGGTTTCTAATAACCACTAGGGATCTTAGAATATATCCCTCACACAGGATAAGAGAAACCACAGTATGAGGAGGTTTGTGGTGGTGGTGGTGTGTATTGTTTTCCCTTGTTGAGACAGAGTTGCACATGGTAGTCCAGGCTGGCCTGGAATTCTGTGTGGTCCATCCTGACCTGGAATCCATGGCCATCTTCCTACCTGAGCCTCCTGTATGTTGAGATTCCAGACAAGAGCAACCAGGTCTTGCAGTACGTGGAATCTTGATATTTTGGTTTATTACTTTCAATGAACAAAAAAAAGGCGGGAGCACATGATTCCATAAATTACAAAAAGCCAAAATGATTTCCGTTTCAGACATATCCTCTCCCTCCAAAACTCATACTAACCAGCTTCTGTTATGATTTAAATGCTATTTGCAAGTGATTGAACTGCCCCAAACCCAAAGAAGAAATAAAACATTTGTGTTTATCTTTTATTTATGCTATCTAGTATAGTCAAATGTAGTACACACTGCTCTCCCCAATGCCTTCCCGTAGGGGTGTTTCCTGGGTGATGGTATGAGGTAGCTTGTGTATGGCCTGTGATGCTCTCTGTTGTCCCACAGCTTCCCTCCATAGAGTTTAGAGTCTGTGGTGTACAGCCTGGCCAGTCCAGCCTGCAGAGTAGCATCCTCAGCTATTCCTTTCTTGATCCAGATTCCCATTTACAGAAATGACTCCCTTCTTGCCATGATGAGGCAATGTGTCCCGGCATGCTCCACCAGGAAGTCACTCCCTCAGGGAGCCACCAACCATCCATCCACCCACCATCTGAAAGTCATAGCCATATGTTCCTCTTGGTTATGACAATTTTAGGAATGTAGATTTTTTTTTAAAAAAACCATTGCTCTTTCCCTTGTGGCAGTCCCAAAATAAAAGCACAAGGGAACTAGTTTGCAAAGACCATGGATAATGTGTCCTTTCCTCCTTTCTCTTGAGGATTATCACAGGGCACAACACACTGGTGACTATCCCCAACGTGGTTACAATTGGACTGATAATGGTGACTTTGGGGTGAGAATGCATGCCCACTCTCCTATTCCTTAGGGATGCTTTTATTCCCTTCAGATGCAAGGAGCCTTGGTGGATCTGCCTAGCCACTTCTCAGACATGCCCAAATTTGCCTGATCCACAGGGCGTACACAGCTTGGGCCTTTCGGCTGCAAACTGCAAACTCCCTTATGTAAGCAGAAAGGTCATATACTATTTTGGAAGGTTTAAAGGCACATCCTGTTTTCCCTGAATTTATTTTCTGTCTGTGCCTCCACTCCCTCTTTTTTCTTTCCCCTCCCCATTTTCTAGCTGGAAAGTCTGAGCTGGAATATAGAAGACTCAAAGACCCTTAGCCAGAGGACTCAGGGAGAAAGAGATCCTCTGTGGTCCCTGGCGTGGTGCAGACAGATGAGCAGCAGGGAGAAGCAA